AACAACAGTAAATTCTAGGGAGGGAGTAGAATCTCATTTCCAATGTTACCACATTACAATACTCAAAATGCACAGTTCTCAACAACAAAAAATATGACACATATAAAGACACAGGAAAGTATGGTCCATTCACAGAGGAGAAAAAGAAATTGACAGAAACCATCCCTGAGCAAGCCCAGATACTAGATTTACTATTCAAAGACTTTAAATTAACTGTCTTTCTTCCCTCCCCAAACTATAGAAGAGAGTTTATTTAGAAAGTCACAGAGGTAGAAGTTAGCCATAGAAGAAATGGGCTCAGGAAACAAGGTACTGAGGCAAAAGAAGGGTCTTTGGAGCTCGGAAGAAAGAGAAAGGCAAGGGGGGAAGAGGGTGGGGAAAGGAGCAGGCACACTCCATAGAGAACCACTAAATTAGCCATCTTAAACATGCTCAGAGAACTGAAGGAAACCATGGACAAATAACTAAAGGAAATCAGAATAGCAATGTATGATTAAGTAAAGAATGGCAATAAAAAGATAGAAAGTATTAAACGGAACCAGGCAAAAGTTCTGGATAAAAAAAAGTACATTAGTTGGAGTTAAAAATTCATCAACAATATTGAAAAACAAAGTAGGGGGACTCAAAATTCCAAATTTCAGAACTTATTTCAAAGGTACAGTAATCAAAACTGTGTGGTACTAGCAAAAAAAACAGACATTTCAACCAACAGAATAGAACTAAGAGTTCACAAACAAATCTTTGTATCTATGGCCACTTGATTTCCACAAGGGTGCCAAGAAAATTCAATGGGGAAAGAAATGAACAAATGGTGGATAGGACAACTGGATATCCACATGCAAACAAATGAAGTTGGATCCCTACCTCACTCCATATATGAAAATTTACCTAAATATAAGACTCTCAGAAGAAACCACTGGGTAAAACTTCATGACTTTTGATTTGGCGATAGATTCTTTTTTAAAAAATATATAATTTATTGAATTTTACAGAGAGGAAGGGAGAGGGATAGAGAGCTAGAAACATCAATGAGAGAGAAATATCGACCAGATGCCTCCCGCACACCCCTCACCGGAGATGTACCCACAACCAATGTATTGGATACATGCCCTTGACCGGAATCGAACCTGGGACCCTTCAGTCTGCAGACCGACGCTCTATCCACTGAGCCAAACCGGTTTCAGCATGGCAATAGATTCTTAAAGTTGAAATCAAAAGCATGAATAACAAAAGAAAACATAGGTAAACTGGATTTCTTCAAAATTAAACACTTTTGTAAATCAATAGTTTATAGTATTGTATTGGTATTAAGTTCCTGATTTTATGTAAGAGAATTTGTGAAAAGACAACCTACATAATGGGAGAAAATATCTGCAAACCATTTATCTGATAATGACCTAGTTCCTAGAATATATATATATATATAAAAAAAACTCTTACAACTCAGCAACAAAAAGAAGACAATCCAATTTAAACCTGTGCAAGGAACTTGAATAGACACTTCTCCAAAGATATACAAATGATCAACAAGCACATAAAATGATGTTCAACAACATGCCCATTAAGGAAATGCAAAACAAAACCACAATGAGATACTACTTCACACTCACTAGGATAGCTTTAATTTAAAAAAAAAAGAAAGAAACGGTGAGGATGTAGAGAAACAGAAACCCTTGAATAGTGGGAATAATAGATGCTGTGTAAACAGCTTGGAAGCACTCTCCCTCTCGGGAGCACACCCACACCTTTTTTTTTTTTTTTATGTAAGAGAATTTGTGCCTGGGCAGGGCCCCTAGACCTAGAGGCTGCTGGCTGCTAGCCGGGGCCTTCCTTAATTCCACACTGCCCCCTGGTGGCCAGTGTGTGTCATAGTGAGTAATTGAACTCCCGGTCAGTTGAACTCCCAAGGGGACACTTTGCATAAGAGGTTACGCGGTTTTTGTGACTGGCTTCTTTCAGCATGTTTTCAGAAACTCTCCTTTACTTTAACTATAAAGTCTGTGCCATGTATTTTTTTTTTTTTGAAGAGGAAAGGTCTTTTTTTTTTTTTTAATATATTTTATTGATTTTTTTACAGAGAGGAGGAGAGAGGGATATAGAGAGCTAGAAACAACGATGAGAAACATCGACCAGCTGCCTCTTGCACACCCCCTACTGGGAATGTGCCCGCAACCAATGTTCATGCCCTTGACCGGAATCGAACCCGGGACCTTTCAGTCCGCAGACCGACGCTCTACCATTGAGCCAAACCGGTTTCGGCTGTGTCATGTATTAAATGTAAGAAAAAAAGTAAGGAGACTATTAAAGGACTACTTATGAAAAGAATATTTCTGAATAGAATGGCAGATAAAAAATAAGAGAGAAGACTCCAGCTAAAATGAATCTTCATAAAATATGAATCAATAAATTTGAAGCAAAATCATTAAAGTAAACAAACTATAATAGTATAAGACAAATATATTAGGGAAAGAATTTTACAGAGCAAATTGCTTGTCAAAGAGAACATTTTCCCTAATGGAGGTGTAGAAAAAGCAATCACAAGGTCTAATTAAAAGGAGAAACAGGAAGAGCAAAAAGCCATGACCTCCGTCCATAAAAACTCCTCTGGTTTCTTGAAATGTGGTTCCTAAACTACTCACATCAAAATCATCTATGAACTTGTTTTGTCCCAGACAATCACCAAAGTGGGACTTTGGAAACCATTTTTGATAAGTACTCCAGATGATTCCCATGAATACCCAAGTTTGAGAACTAATATCTAAGTAACACAAATTAATGCAAATGGTATTTAATGTATGCAAGAACAAAGAAAATAGTGACAAGAGCAAAATGCATGAAAAAAAGCGAAGAAAATAAATAAAAAAGTAGTACATTATAAAAATAAAATGATGGTTGAAAACTCCTGTAAACTTGATATTGAAAAAATTCTAAATGTGTAAATATGCAGGCCATTCTTACTAATACCTGTGAAGACCACTCACAGTGATAGAAAGCACTCATCAATGTAAGGTCATGTAGCAGAGGGAGTCCATAGTGGATTTGCAAATGTTTGTTAACAATGTTAACTATTTTTATAACAAATACAGTTATGTTTAATTATCTCCATCTTCAACTCAACCTAGACAAGAACCAAACTTTTGCTGTGGTAATCTTTAAATGGACAATAGCATAAATTGTCAAATATTATATCAGATACCAACAGGCAAGCTGTTGGTATCTGATATAATATTACTTTCAGACCAATTTAATCACTATTTTTAAGGCCAGACTTATGTAAACAAGGACAGGCAAAACTAGAGTTAAATTTCTCACGACAGCCCTAGCCTGTTTGGCTCAGTGGATAGAGCATTGGCCTGCATACTAAAGGGTCCCAGGTTCGGTTCTGGTCAAGGGCACATGCCCGGGTTGCGGGTTCAAACCCCAGTAGGGGGCATGCAGAAGGCAGCCGATCAATGATACTCTCTCATTGATGTTTCTCTCTCTCTCTCTCTCTCTCTCTCTCTTTCTCTCTCTCTCTCTCTCTCTCTCTCTCTTTCTCTCTCTCTCTCTCTTTTTCTCTCTCTCCCTTTTCCTTCCTCTCTGAAATCAATAAAAATATATTTTTTAAAATTTCTCAAGACTAAGAGCATTGCATGATAGAACTCAAATTTCCTTAAAAGTCACAAATATATGTATACACAGATAGCTTTTATTGTTCTAACTAAGCAAAAATTCCTGAAGGTGAAGTATTTACTAAATTCTAACTCCTAATTTTACTTTAGTGAGGAAAGTCCAATTTGGTTTCATAGGGATAAAGAAAGGAAGTTTACATTATGTAACTCTCAAAGGATCTCACTATCAGAATGCAAAATTTATCCACCTTTCCCATAAAAAGCATCTTTTCTCTATAACCTCCTAAACCCAATTAAGGTGTTAAATTCTAAAGTCCCTTTGAGGGGAGGGGGTTGGAAGGGTGGGTGGAAAAGGTGAAGGAATTAAGCAAAAAAGCACACAACAACAAAAAATGCCCTTCTAGACAGACAACAGTATGGTGATTCCCAGAGGGAAAGGGAGGGGTGTGTTGTGTGTGTGTAAATGAGGGATAAATGGTGATAGGAGACTTGACTTGGGGTGGTAAACATACAATATACAGATGACGTATTAAAGAATTGTACACCTGAAACCTATATAATTTTATTAACCAAGGTCACCGCAATAAATTCAATAAAAACAAAGTCTCTTTTGGCTTACTTATTTAGATTAAGCCTTATTATACATTTGGAAACCCAATTACATTCTATCTAACCCTAAGATGCAGATGTTTCAACATTTCCAGACATGATTCTCGCAAATCTTAAACATGAAACAAACCATACTGGGAGAATGAAGTAGGTAAATGCAAGCAAATGAATTATATGGGAAAGTAATGTTGCTTCAAAAGGGTACTTTATTATCAACATTTGGTTTGATACATTAAAGTCTAAAAGCATCTAAGAGTCCTCTTTGACACTTTTTCATTTCACAACTATGTTTCAAAAGTCCCTGGAATTAAGCAAAGCATTAAAAGCAGGCTAAGATACAGATGTGTGGACTTCATCACCAAGGTCTCACATTTCCTTCCAACAGTCAAGCAATATTCATCATTAAGACCCAGTTTCCAACTCCCGAACTCCCTGGACATTCCTTACATACTCAATACACACATACACACACACCACCACCACCACCACCACCACCCTCCCAAGTCTCTCACACTGGCACAACATCCTCTCAACATTTATTTGGTTGCTATGCTTCCTTCTCCTACTGATCCTGCAGACTTGACCCTGCCCACAATCTCTGGTTCCATTTCTCCCACCATACTCAAACTCAAAGCAATAAAAGACACACTTTTCCCTAACTGCAGACAACTTCTTTAACTCTGCCCCCCCCCCCCCCCCACACACACACACACCCCAGCTCTGCTCTCTATCCTGCCTTTGTTATTCAGAAGGTGCGGGGTCTGGGGCAATCTCACTCACCTCATGCTATAGGCACCAGCACCCAGCTCCTGGCCGATTCCGGACAGGCTAGCATCAAAGTCCTGCACCAGCCCGGATTCGATCACTTCATCGGCCAGCGGCAGCTTCAGAGCCCAAGCCATCCTGGCTCCTCCCTGGCCCCAGCAGACACTGTTGCTTCCACAAAGGTGAGCAGTGTGTGTGGTTCTATCCAATGGGGGCGAGGACTGTAGGAAACTCCAAACCAAGATTTCCCACGCAGTACCCACCGGCTACCCTTGAGCCCGACCCGCACGGATTCTCCCCTGCCCTCGGCTCCTTGTTCTGGGGCGCCCCTCAGGCCCTTCTGTTCTTTATTCCAGACTGCCCAGAGGCAGCCCTGAACTCTCACCCTCCTCCTCTCGGGGCTCTCCCTTTGGCGCGTGGGGGTCACTGGCTGCTTCCTCCACAGACCAGCAGCAGCGCCCGCCGCCCCGCCGGCGCTCCCAGGTCGCTGTCGCACCTTTGCCCCCCGCCCCTTACGGCTTAGGAACCCCCTCCCTCCCGGGACCCACGCTCCCTGGACCCTCCAAGGCCTCGCTTCCGGTCAGCCCCAAGATCACTTCCGGTCAACCCCGCAGCGCTTGGGACCAAATCCAGGTTTCCGCCCCGCCGACTCCTCGACCTCTGCGGCCACCCCGCGGCAGCGAAACGGGGAGAGGGAGAGCGCGGCGCGGGTTCCGAGCCCAGACTCGCCAGGCTGCCCCACCGCCCGCCGCCCCGCCGCCAGCCAATCATCTCGGCGCCCTCTTCCTCCGCCCAGCCGGGGGACATGACGTCACTCGGTCGCTCACCAATGAAAAGGAGACTGCGCTGGGTTCGGCAGTGCTGATAGGCCAGCTCCCCCTAGGTTCCGGCCCCGAGAGTGGGCGGGGCTACCTGGGAGGGGCGGGGACGGGCGTGCGTCAGGTGTCTGGGTTTCGGCGTGCCTCCTCCCTACGGCTACCTGCGCGCCGGGACCGCTAGGTTCCCCACCCGCTCCGTAGGGCGTGGGTGGGGCCATCGTCCTGGTCCTGCCAAGTCCTCCCTGACGCCCGGAAAGCTGGACCATTTCCCAGGCTCTACCTGCGTGCGCTCCTTGGCTCCCGGAATACCCTCTCTCCTGAAACTCACCTTTCTGGAGGTCAAGACTCTGCTTCAAGCCCACTTCCCTGGATGGTCGTCCTCCTCTCGTCGACCTTTCCCCGGCCCTCTCTTGTTTCCCTGTCCCCAGCTTTAATGAAGGTTAAAATTCACCTGGATTCGTGCTGTACAACTTTTCCTGCACAAAGTTAACACACACCCACCCCCACATCCCCACTGCCCTCTGGCCCTAGGCTAGATCCCGTTTCCAGTAACTAGATAACTGAGCCATATCTAGAAATCTCATGGAGCCCTGTCCTCTGGGAAATATTTAGGGAAAGACAGACCTGTACTTCTCGGAAATGGTTGAGCCTGTGTTTAAATTCTGAACCCACATTAAGACTTCACACAGGTTTTCTTGACCTTAATTCTAATTCTAAACTACACTGAGGTGCAATGAAAGGTGACTCCTAAACCTTTGCTCATCCAAATTGGAATGCAGCCACCAGCCTTGAGATTGTTAACGTCAAACAAACAAACAAGCATTGAAACCTGTAAAGAATTTTTGTGAGTTTGAGCCAAACTGTGACATATGCCGGGAAGCAGAACCTCGATGAATTGATATAGTATCAAAGGAAAGGGACATAGGTGAATTACGTGAATTTCATTGGTGATAGTTTAAGGAGGCGGGATAAAGCAAAGCAGTGGGAAACCCCTGGGATTGGATAAAGTAAAATGATGGACACATACTTAGGTGGGCTCAGGAACAATTAACATGATAATGAAGGAATTTGAGGCATCTGTCCTGGTGCCCACCACAGCTGGTTGTGCCCCCAGGGGGCTCCAGAAAAAGGGAAGTTACAAGTTACCCAGACATTTCAAGGGTATGTTATCTTAGAGCCAAAAAGGCAAATGGGCTCAGGAAAGATCTAATTTGATCTTTGTCAAGAAAAATATCAGCCTAGGACATGACTGCCCACTATAACCTGTTTGTAGTTACATATTTAATTTTTAGACCATCTTTTGTGGTAACTTTAGGTCTCTGAGTTTGCAAGGCTGCCACGCACGCCTCCCTGAGCTTGTCAGGTTAGCATGTGGCTCCTTTCGTCCACAAGATTTACATCCTTGAGCCCAGTTCCCCCATGAAGGGAGAAGAGCCTTGGAATTCTGTGAATGGGAGGAGTGGACTTTTTCCTTCCTCCCCCCCCCCCCCCCCCCCCCACTAAGAGGGAAATCCGAGTGCCATGGCTGGAAACCAGGATTCCAGGGGCAACCCTGGCAGCTCTGCCTCCAACAGGAGATTCCCAGTGTTCCCCTGAAAATCCAGCAACACCTATCAATAAACTAAGTTTCCCCCCACAAATTCATCCCACCACAAAATCCGTGGCTCCTGTTAGAATAAACAGGACTGATTAACCAGAGCACAGGCTCCAGACCATTATTCTAGAATCAGACCATTGGGTAAAGTTAAGGCTCACTGGGAAGAGTTCTTTTGCCTAGACTGAAACTAGACTGTTCAGATGGAACAAAACAGGGTTTTCCCTGGTGTGTGGAAGTCTGTGGAAATCCTATAAAAGAGATGAGGATAGAGAGCAATCTCCAGGTGCCACCCCGTATGAGGTAAGGAAGGTTAAGCACACAGGCTTTAGAAATAGCACATTTGGTTCAAGACACTGTTCTGCTGCTCACAAACAAAGCAACCTTGAGTATGTTACACCCAGACTTCGTGATCCCCAAGGACCACCAGGGAGCCGAGTCCGATGCAATTGTAGAGTCTGAATTCCATGCCAGCATGGGCTCTGTCCCACTCATGCCGACAGCATGGCGGGAAAAGAGGCCGAACTTCGACAGGTCAAAGGGTTTTATAGGGGTGGTGATGTCACTGCTTTGGCTGATCCTGATTGGTTGGGTGAGGGCCAGTTATAAAATGGAGGATAGCTCCGCCCTGCCCCACAGTACAAAATGGAGTCAGGAGTTAGCCTCTCCCCGCCCTGCCCTCTCAAGTAGTTTCTCATTTCTCCTGTGCCTCAATTTCTTACCTGTAAAATGGGTATAATAGTTATTACTTTATAAAATTCAGTGAGAATTAACTGAAATAATGTACGTTATATGCTTAGAAGAGTGACTAGTGCATAGTCAGTGCTAGGTAAAGGCTAGCTATTACCGTATTTTTCGGACCATAAGATGCACTTTTTTTCCCCCAGAAGTGGGGGGGGGGAAAGTCCCTGCGTCTTATGGTCCAAATATAGCCTACACATATACTTTAAAAAAAAAGTTTTTTTACTTGCCCGGCTCTGTGTGGTCTCTGTGTGCTTGCCCGGCTCTAAAATGGTTCTAAATGCTGCTGTTTACTTTACAGGGTTATTACATGTGTTTATGACTGTGATGTTGGGTTTTAATGCACATAAAATATTTTAGGACACTATTTGTTTCAGAATCTTTTTTTCTTCATTTCCCTTCTTTAAAAACTGGTGTGTCTTATGGTCCGGAGCGTCTTATGGTCTGAAAAATACGGTATTATGATTGACAAAAAGGAGACCTATCTGCCTATCTCATAAGACAAGTCCATTTCCTCAGAGGCCTGAGGCTCACGCTCTTTGGATCAGCAGCCCAGGCTTCCCTTCTTACTCATTAACTGAAGTCAGTCACTGTTTCTGGGTTCCTGGATCAACCCTGGCATTTTCTTCCAGGTGTGAGAAGAAACCAATTATCCAGGCAGGCTTTTTTGAGGGACTGACCATCTGGCGTCAACTTTTTTTTTTTTTTAAATGTTTTTATTGATTTCAGAGAGGAAGGGAGAGGGAGAGAGAGAGAGAGATAGAAACATGAATGATGTGAGAGAATCATTGATCGGCTGCCTCCAGCACGCCCCCTACTGGGGATCGAGCCCAGAACCCGGCCTGTGCCCTGACCAGAATCGAACCGTGATCTCCTGGTTCATAGGTCGATGCTCAACCATTGAGCAACACACGCCAGGCTAGTTATAACTCTTTATATCTTCTTACATCCAACACAGTCAGCCTGTGAGGCTTACTCTGTCTTCCTTGAAAGACCCTGCAGCTGAGAGAAGAGGAAATCAAAACATTTCACACCCATGAAGCTTCAAGCAACCTCAGGTTCCCTTCAATTCTCATCTCTAGTCCAGAAATCAGTCCCCATCTTCTCTAGTTCTTAAAAGGTCAGTTCCTCCTTCACAGCTATCCACATCACATAGGACATCTATGATACTGTGATTTACAAGAAATATATATATATATATATATATATATATATATATATATATATATATATTAAAAAGAAAACTGCAGGTCCCAAATGGCATTATTAGTGCTAAAAGCCCATGATGCCAAACCTAGATTTAATACCTGATCTAATTGCAGTTTTAACCTCTCCCAGAAATGTAATCTTAATTAACCTTAATCAGGCTGAAATTTTCTGATCAAGAACCAAATAAATATGACTAATTAACCAGTAAGTAGAAAGAAGTAGCAAGACAATCTACATGATAAAAACCCTTCCGCTTTCCTACCCCTAAAGAAAAGATGTTCTGGCCCCAGCTGGTTTGGCTTAGTGGGTAGAGCATAGGCCTGCTGACTGAAGGTTCCCCGATTCTATTCTAGTCAGGGCACATGCTTGGGTTCTGGGTTTGATCTCCAGTAGGGGGCATGCAGGGGGCAGCCAATCACTGATTGATCTCCCTCTCCCTCTCTGAAATCAATTAAATTTATATATATTTAAATATATATATATATATATATTTTTTAGAGGCCCAGTGCATTAAATTTGTGCACAGAGGGGGGCATGTCCCTCAGCCTAGCCTGCACCCTCTCCAATCTGGGACCCCTCGAGAGATGTCTGACTGCCAATTTAGGCCTGATCCTAGTGGGATCGGGCCTAAATGGGCAGTAGGATATTGCTCTCACAATCCAGGATTATTGGCTCCTAACTGCTCCTGCCTGCCTTCTTGATTGCCCCTAACTGCTTCTGCCTGCCAGCCTGATCACCTCCTAACCACTCCCATGCCAGCCTGATTGATGCCTAACTGTTCCCCTGCCAGCCTGTTTGCCCTCAACTGCTCTCCCCTGCTGGTCTGGGTCCTGCCCAACTGCCCTCCCCTGCTTGCCTGATCGCCCACAACTGCCCTCCCTTGTAGGCCAGGTCTTTTTCAACTTCCCTCTCCTGCTGGCCATCTTGTGGTGGCCATCTTGTGTCCACATGGGGACAGGATCTTTGACCACAAGGGGGCAGCCATCTTGTGTGTTGGAGTGATGGTCAATCTGCATATTACTCTTTTATTAGATAGGATAGAGGCCTGGTGCATGGTGGGGGCCAGCTGGTTTGCCCTGAAGGGTGTCCCAGATCAGGGTGTAGGTTCCCTTGGAGTGTGGGGCAGCCTGGGCAAGGGGCCTGTGGTGGTTTGCAGGCTGGCCATGCCCCCTGGCAACCCAAGCAGAGGCCCTGGTATCTGGGATATATTTACCTTCTACAATTGAAACTTTGTAGCCTAAATCAGAGCCAAGCCTCCTGCTTGCTCCTTGGTGGCAGCCATTTCTGTTTGGATTTGTTTACCTTCTATGATTGAAACTTTGTAGCCTTGAGTGGAGGCCTAGGCCGGCAAGGGCAGGCGGAAAGCTTGGCTTCCTTCGTTGCCAGGGAAACCCAAGCCTCC